TGACACCCACCCCCCAATGGCCCCCCACCTCCTGTGCCCCCTCCCAGGGCCGGGGCAGCCCCATCCGGCCTGGACCCCCCCACTGACCACTGGTGGGACCATGGGGCCGGGGGGCCACAGTGGAGCCGTGGGTCTGAGGCAATGGAGTCATGGGGCTGGGGGTCTGTGGTGGGACCATGGGGCTGAGGTTCCACAGTGGGGTCCGTGGTGGGGCGGTGGGGCTGGGGTCTGCAGTGGGGCTGAGGGTCCATGGTGGGGTCCGCGGTGGGGCGGTGGGGCCGGGGTCTGCAGTGGGGCTGAGGGCGGCGGTGCCGGCAGGAGCGGGGGGTGCCGGTGCCGCGGGACGAGCCCCTGGACACGTCGGGCATCGAGTGGATCCGCATGGGCACCACGGTGGCCACCAACGCGCTGCTGGAGCGCCGGGGCGAGCGCCTGGCCCTGCTGGTCACCCGTGGCTTCCGGGACCTGCTCCACATCGGCAACCAGGCCCGGCCCCACATCTTCGACCTGGTGAGGCCCGGCCCCACAGCACCCCACGGCACCCCCACCCTTGGGGTGGCATGTCCCCGTGACCCACAACATCTAGGATGGAGCTGGCACGTCCCCGTGACTCGCACCTTCCAGGGTCTTGGTGGCACGTCCCCATCACCCAAACCATCTAGGATCATGGTGGCACATCCCGGTGACCCACACCATCCAGGATCACGGTGGCACATCCCCATGTCACATCCCCATGTCACATCCCCGTGACCCACACCATCCAGGGTCTTGGTGGCACATCCCCGTGACCCACACCATCTGGGGTTGTGGTGGCACATCCTTGTGTGACCCACACTGTCCAGGGTTGTGGTGGCACATCCCTGTGACCCACACCATCCGGGCTCAGGGTGCCACATCCCCGTGTCCCACACCATCAGGGACTGGGGTGGCACATCCTCGTCACCCCACATTCTCTAGGGTTGGGGTGGCACATCCCCCTGTGACCCACACCATCTGGGGTTGTGGCGGCAAGTGCTTGTGTGACCCACATTCTCCAGGGTTGTGGTGGCCCATCCCCCTGACCCACACCATCCAGGCTCAGGGTGCCACATCCCTGTGTCCCACAGTGACGGGGTGGCACGTCCCCGTGACCCACCCCCCCTGGCCCCTGGGCTGTCACGTCCCCGTGACCGGCACCGTCCGGCCTTGGGGCAGCGTGTCCCCAGGTGACCCCCCCCCACCGAGCGGGGGTCGGGCCGTCACGTCCCCGTGTCCCCGCGTGACCGGCCGGGTGGGCCCGTCCGTGTCCTCTGCCCGCCGCGGACGTCCTTGGTGGCGTGGGGACGTCCCCGGATCCCGGTGCCACGTCCCGTGAGCGGCCGCTGGGCTCCGGCCACGGCCCCGCGCCAGCCCCGGCCACGTGCCA